TTCTTTTATGAAGTCATTTTATATCAATATTGCAATTTAAATTGTCCGTATAATCACATAATGATCTATGTGTGTCATAGATTATAACCATATACAAGACCCAAGCACGATGTCTTTTTTAACAAATTTGAGAACAGATGCTATAAAGTATACAAGCAACTTGTCAATAAGAGGAAAAAACAAATAAAACTGCAGAAAATTAGTAAGTTAAAGCTCTTGATAGCCTAATTCTTGCCTACCCTGAGTTGGCATCGAAAATTTTAATAGGAAGTTCAATGTAGCACTCAGAAACAAAACAGACAGTTTGCAGTAATTTATACTTTTGAACACATTGTAGAATATTTTCCCAGATAAACTTTAGTCTACATTTTTAAAGGCTTAGGAAATGCCGGCACCTCATCACTCCCTCAACATCTACATACTGTCTCTCTAGCATATGAAATACAGCTCACACCAGATAAATCACAAACATGTATAGCCATATTGTTCACCCACGATTAGTTTAACAACATTTTTCAATAACCTTCGAGTTGGATTTATCATGGTGTCCAGAAAAGTGGGATGAAGGGGGCTCTTTTGTATGAGTTCAGACCGTATCTTATTGCTGTGACTAATCATGACCTTGGCTGTTTCAGTTCCATTTATTACATCAACCTCTCCTCACACACAAACCCCCACTGGACCCACCGGGGAATCTGCAAAACTGTTGCATAAGATATTAATATTACACAAAGACCAAGTCCAATTGAATTACACAAATCATAGCGCTTGGGTCAATAGTAAAGGCCAGAATTCAAAAACAAATTAAACTTGAAAATATTGGATAAAAGCTGTGAGGTGAAGAAAAACATTTTGAAAACGAAAGGGCGATCGTGGGTGACCAAGAAAGGTGCACAATGTAACTTTTCTAGTGAGAGCTTTGCCACGTGCTTGTCTCCAGTGGAGATGTTATTGCATTGCCTAGAATTTTCCACAGTATGGCATTAAACATATCTATCCTGCAATTATTCAATTACAGATGTTTTCAATCACCAACACAAGGATTGAAAAACATGTATTCTTACTGTGAGTGGGCTCGCCTCTCCACAGATCTGACCTGTAACTTGGCCTGGTAGTCGCTCCTGCTTGTCTGCATGGAGATAGATTAGTTTAATGCCATACTACACAAAGCAATTGCAATGCTCTGTCAACTTACAGAACAAATGTTTTTATGCGTTAGCAAGATTGGGACCTCCTCTCCACAGATCTGACCTGTAACTTGGCCTTGTAGCATTTCCTGCTTGTTTCCATGGAAATAGATTAGTTTAATACCATACTACACAAAGCAACTGTAATGCTCTGACAACTTACAGAACAAATATTTTTATGCATATCACCTTAGTGAGATTGGGCCCGCCTCTCCACCGATCTGACCTGTAATTCGTCCAGGTAGTCTCTCCTGCTTGTCTCCATGGAGATAGATAAGTTTAATACCATACTACACAAAGCAACTGTAATGCTTTGACAACTTAAAGAACAAATCTTTTTATGCATGTCACCTTAGCAAGTTTGGGACCGCCTCTCCATAGATCTGACCTGTAACTTGACCTGGTAGCATCTCCTGCTCATCGCCATGGAAATAGATAAGTTTAATGCCATACTACACAAAACAACGGTAATGCTCTGTCAACTTACAGAACACATGTTTTTATGCATGTCCCCATAAGATTGGGGCCGCCTCTCCACAGATCTGACCTGTAACTAGGCCCAGTAGTCTCTCCTGCTTTTCTCCATGGAGATAGATAAGTTTAATGCCATACTACACAAGGAAAATGTAATGCTCTTTCAACTTACAGAGCAAATGTTTTTATGCATGTCACCTTAGCAAAACTGAGACCTCCTCTCCACAGATCTGGCCAGGTAGCCTCTCCAGCTCATTTCCATGGATACATTTAATTAATGCCATACTATAAAGCAACCACCAAATGCTTCTTTAACGTACAAACCAGTACCAAATGTTTTTATGCATGTCACCATAGCAAGAGAAAGATATTACAGAACAATCCATTGGTACATCATGACAAAACCTTTCCAAATCCCTTAAAACTGTTATGAATCCTGGATCTATCTACAAGGACTTTTTCCCATTTAAAAAACTAGTGGCTGTAGCTAGTGTTGTTATCGCCCCATGATGTCATATAGGCCCAATCTAAAAGGATTACGCAGATGGTAGGGGAAAATTGTCTCCATTATAGCTGAAAGGAAAATGTGGATTTCTACAGTAAACTATGGGAATAATGACAGGGGATGTTTGGCTCGGAAATGTTTTGGATTGACACCAAATTGGTCAATTGTTACGAGATGTAGCAATTCCTAAAACACGTCAATGGAACTCCAGGGTAACGCAAATCAACAAATGACAATGGAAGGAAGAACATGTACAACAACAATGAAATGGTGTGTATGTATTTTTCCTGTTCCATTAGTAATAGGCTGGGTTCACGTCAGATCACAACATTGGAGAAAGCCTATCGTTTAACCTGAGCAGGAGGAGGACTCTGTGTTAGAACTCTATGTTGAAATTAGCTGTTTAACTGATGTCTTAAAAGATCAGCACAAACAAAAGTGGCAAAGTGAAATGAGGAAAATGTAATCTAGTGACATTAGATGTAGAATTGAATATAAATTTGAAAATATTTATGATGTGAAAATTTTAAATACAGACAGGCCATCTGTCATCTCAGGACTAACTCCAGGATTCCCAAGGTCGCTGGCAGATACAATGACCTTCAAGCTCAATGAGGATTTGTAATTTATGGTGAGATGTGAATTTCATGTTTTGAGTGTACAATCTGTATACTGTTTTATTCAGAATATTGATGGTAAAAGTGTTTTCTAGTATATGTTATTTTGTCATGAATTGATATGTTTATGTTTGTGCAGTGTTCATAATGAGCAAATAAAAAAGTAAAAAATTTAATGTAATGAGATTTGTTGATCTGTTATCCACATGAAACAAAAACAATCACATACCTAAACGTCTGCACTGTCAATATGAATGAACAAAATAGCCTCAGAAAGTGGTTCATTATTCATCTCCAACTGTGTGATTTTTATCAGTTGAAATGACTTTAAGATGTGAGATTAACATTGCAGGTTTATGAACCCAGTCCCAGTTTTGTGGATATGTTTCTTTTAAAAACAATACATTTCCAAAAGAGTTACAGCAAATATACATCATCAGATTTTTTAATGTGAATGTAATCTACAGCGCTTGGGAAAAACACTAAAATTCAACGGCAGGAATGACTTAAATAAACACGTAAGAGTCATGATATCCCTATGAGCAATGCCACATCCCATTGTGCCAGTTACAGGGGGAACTACTTTGTCAACATACTTGCCATTCCAAAAGATGTATTTCCGAACATCAAGGGCTTCGTAAAATAGCTGTGAAGTAAGTCACCCTCTCCTATTCCTCCTCTCACACTTGACTCACAATAAAGGCTCCATAAAAGGCCTCAATGCTTCCTCTGCAGCCAAAGGTAATCCTTGTGACTTAACTCCTGACTCACAAAAGGAAATGTTCAAAGCTAGAGATGGGTCAAATGAGGTGAAAAACTGCACAGATATGATTTCATAATAATGTTTAGTCTGTGAAATCAAAGCAATTCCATCAGACAAAAAAGGTGTGAAGAAAAGTGGACCATGAATGCAACACAAAAAGTGTGGCTCAAACCGTCTGTAACTCTGTGAAACATACTGAAGTGCAGAGGTCAGTGTTATGGCTATGGCTGTGGATGAGCAGTGATGGGGGGTCAGCCATCTGCTTGTCTCCATGGAAATGCTATTGCCTTATTTCATAACATGGTATTAAACAAAAAAATGTATTCACTAAAAGCTGGACATGTTATACTGGCAGTTGAGGATGCACCTTAATTAAGGTCTACTGCTCAATCTATTTTTGAGCACTGTACAAAATGAAGATACACAAAAAATATTAAACATAAATTAGTAGTTTCATCTTTTAGTGTATGTTACCTTACTATAACTGCTATAATAACTGAATCTACCTCCCATTTCTGTTCTACATTGAAGGCCTACATTGAAGGCCTACATTGAATGTCACATAAATGTCACATAAATCTAGGATTAAGCTCCAGTCTCCTATATTGCAAAAGAAATAATAAAAATGGCAAGTATGAGAAAAAATGCATTAAAATAATCTCTAACAGTGGAGCACTTTGAGAGGCATTACACAAGTAAGGCAATATTATTAATACAAGTACATAAACGCTGCTTGTATTGTTCTATTATGTCTACATAAATGATGCCATATAAGGCTATTCCGGTCTGCGAGTTTCATAGCGTTTCCTATTTAGATGGAAGAATTCCAATCAATGTGTGAATCACTGCAAAACATACCATTCGCTTTAGCAGGATAAACATTGAAAACGCAAGTTAAAAAGGCTGATATTACGCTATTCTCTGATCTCTGTTACAGTGTTCCTCATCACAAACATTCCTGGAGTCATCTTTTGTTTCATTCACACATTCTTCTCCTAAACAGAAAACATTCCACATTCCACCTTGTGATGTCATGTGGTAATACAGGAAGTGCTCCATTGTGTTTGTAGACTCCACACACCTTCATTAGAATTGCTAATCTTTACTAAAGAAAAGGTAAAAGGAAGCTGTTAACTTGAAAACAACCATTTCATGACATCATAAGGAGGAAAAGAGCAGTTTGAGCTTTGGAGATGTAGATAAGATGTAGATGTAATAATAAAGGATTAATGAAACGTGTGAATGAAACAAAAAACAACTCCAGGGTATGTTTTTGAGGAGGTGATAGCATTATAACATGACTTAAAGCCCACACAAGAGGCGGCTTTGTGCAATATAGAACTTTTAAAATGCAAGAAATGTAGAACAGAATGTCTTATTGTCCATCTAGCATATGACACACAGCTCATAGCAGATAAATCTCTAAAACATGTGTAGCCATATTGTTCACTCACAATTAGTTGAAAAACATATTTCAATAACCTTCAAGTTGGATTTATCATAGCGTCCAGAAAAGATGGGATGAAGGGGCCTCTTTTGTATGAGTTCAGACTGTATCTTATTGCTGTGACTAATCATGACCTTTCCTGTTTTGCAAGTTTAAAATGTTATAAATGTAGAAAATAATCAGATCAATATTTCCCAGAACACTTAAATGGTAATAGCAACTGTTGCAATCTCCGCAGTGGTGGAAGAAGTGCATGATTTTGTTACTTAAAGACAGATACTGGAGCAATAAAAATACTCAAGTAAAAGTAAAAGGGTCACAAGAAATCTACTTAGGTAAAAGTATTAAAGTGCCTGAATAAAAATGTAGTGTTTCACACATCCAGGCTTCAAATGTAGTCATTTTGATACAGCTTTTGATACAGTATTTGGTTCAAAAAAAACAACAGAATCGATCAATTTTTCTAAGCTGCTTTTATTTGTATATTTTTGCTTAAAACATGTTAAAAAATAAACTCTCAGCCTTTTCAGTGGGTCACAGACTATCATAAAAACTACTTTTACTTTTCAGTCCAGTTAAACAATGTAATGGAGTTGAAAGTTAAGATACCTACTCTCAAATACAGTGGAGTAAAAGTAAAAAGTATCCACATAAAATGTACCGTAAAGTACAGATGCTTACAATCTGTAGTTTTCAGATTTTAGAATGTGATGATGTCATTCTCCCAGTGGGGGGGCAAGAGCCTGTTTTCCCTATTGATTTTGTACTTTCCCATGAAATATCCACAACGTAAATTCGCAAATGTTAAATCTGGTACTTTCATTTATTGACCAAACCCAAGAACTCACTATATTACAACATGATTTTGCTTTTTAACAATATTCAGCTGCCCCACCATCTGTATTAATGAATATTGGCTTATAGAATGCTGCGATGTCATCTGTTATTACTTACGTACAGTACATTACTACTTTTACTTTGTTACATTCTCTTGTTACAATCTCTGTTCATTCTTCTGGATTGAGTCTGCTAAGTGAGGCTATCCTTGACACTGACTCATGACTTGAGACCCCTCACACAGACTTTTATGGTAAATCTGCCCAGGTACACTCCCCCTTTCAAGCTGTGCCACTCAACATGATGACTGCACTGGCATACTCCTCATGGCATAGACATTACCACAGCGTCATGACAGCATTCCCCCATCCAAACCTGTGACTCCTCCATCTGTTTGGAGGTCTGGCCGAATGGGGCCTGTACGTTGACAAGCATGACATAACTTCAGAAGGAGGTAAGGGGTATCCAGTTGCCCCACACAAGTTTTAATGTGCGTGTGGCTATCCAGACGCTATGCAGTCAAAGCAAACTCGAGATAGTCTTTGAAAACTATTAGCGTAGCTCGCATGTCTCGCACCCAAGTCTATTCACATAAAACATATTTCATTACAGTCCCAGGTTTTTAATAAGGGCTGGGAGAGAGATAAATAGTTTGTAGTTCCTAGAGTAGTAATAAAAATAGGCATCCAGATACAACACCGGTATGAAAATACATATGCGAAGATACTTATTTGAACAATATCAGTTAGTACTTAAAGACGCACTGTGTAACTTTTCGGTTGGGGGTCCAACACTTTCTTGTTTTCCATGGATATGTCATTGCATTGTTTAAAATATTCCTCTACCTTACATTTACTCAATACCTAGAAAAACAGGTATTCTGAGAAGGGCTACTTCTCCACAGATCTGACCTGTAACTTGGGTCTTGTTTGGTATCCATGAAGATAGAAAAGTGTAATGCCATACTGTGAAGCAGAGGTGTGGACTTGCAAGTCATGACTTGGATTCGAGTCAGACTTCAGTTATTATTTTTAGGACTTGAGACGTGACTTGATAAAATGGAGTAAAACGTGGGACTCAACTTGGACTTGAAGGGCACAGACTTGGAACTTGACTCAGACTTGAGGTCTGTGACTTGAGAAGACTTGAGAAGCACTTTTAAATCTGAATTTGTTCTATACTGACTGTAATGATTCACTCTAAGCTGTTGTCAAGACATTTAAAAAGATAAAAATAGCATTTCTACAACTCTTGAAATGACTCTCGACTTGAAATGACTTGAAACTCAAAGCAGACAACTTGGACTTGACTTGGCCTTATGGGCTAGTGATTTGAGACTCAACTTGGACTTGCCTGTATTTCACCTAGGACTTGACTGGGACTTGAGGTCAAGGACTTGAGACTTATTCTAGACTTGCAAAACAACGACTCCCTCCACCTCTGCTGTGAAACATAACATCTCATGGACCCTCCACCAGAAAAGTTACACAATGCACCTTTAATAAATTGCATTAATTAATTAACTGGTCAAACTTTGATCTTGCCTGAATAGTTTTATATAGTTTTGATATGTATCAGAACTAGTATCAATAATAATATTAAAGAAACTACTAAAACTTTGTATAGAAAATGACATTCTATTGTAGGCCTTTCACAATCACACATTTTGAAGCGAGATGTTTACATATAGACAACACACTATAATATTGAAACTAATTTATGCCATTAACACAACAATCCAAGAGTAGATTTAAACCACAAAACCTATTCTAAATGTACAATATTATTAAAAGATTATGAGATGCAATAAATAGTCGAATGATAAACTTCAGTAGTTAGTTTGCATCTGTAATGAATAAAAGAAGTTATTAATTCAACCTTTAAAAGTTATAGTAATTATCGTGACAGGCCTGGTCTAATAAGATATGATAACATAAGATAAGATAACATAATTCTTGATTGTCTCCCATGGGAGAAATTTGTCTTGTGACAGGAGATCACATGCTTTATCAAAAACAGAACAACACAGCACAAAGCAGCACACCATCATAACCATCAAACCATCAAACACCATCATAGAACAAAAATAGATACAAGAACAAGTATGATCAAGAGTGATGCACTAACAGGACCTTTAAGTCACTCTTTACAGGCAAGCCCTTTGCAATCTTGTATTCTATTAATAATTGCACACTCCGAAGCCTATGTGCAGTTTTGACTGCACCTTGATGTCTTTAAAGTGTTTTTTTTTAATAAATATTGTGGTACTGAAATGGTAAGCCTCTTCATTAGTATCAAAAGAGAGTTTGAAACTTTAAATGGTGTCAACACAACACTAGTATTTCCACTAAACCAATTCACTCCATTTTGAAATAATTGAGCTTACAATACTAAATTGGGCATTTAATCACCCTATGACCACAGACCTTCATTTTTTTCCCATTAGCCTGCAAAGAATACGCAAGAAAATGACATCATAAATGGCACTAGCTATCAACTTTACTCAAAAATCAGTCACAGGAATCAATAACGCTGTCTGGATGTCCGATAGATCAGCCTTGAGATTAGTACAGAAGTGCACGACCTTTCGGAACGGGACACTGTCATGATTTGTTTCCCAAATGTTGGTCAAGCAAAAACAAACCTTTAAAAGCGGAGGTGCCATTGAGGTTTTTGGTAAACGTTGGATATGATCATACAATAAAAATAAAATAAATTTCAGCAGACGTGTTGTCAGTGGATAGGAATGTGAACGGGGGAACAGGCTTGAGTATTACATTGGCTTAAGACAGGTGTGCTCCTTCTGACCAGCCAGCACGTTATGACTACCTTTTCTTCAGCTTCTCACAATAGACACTTGAAAACAGCTAGAGGGAAAATCAATCACTCAACATTACAGATGCCAGTTGCACTAAAACCTAGCAGAGGTGTATTCTGGGTATATTATTTGTTCTTTCGAGGCATGTTTCTGTCATTATCATTCCTGGAGTAGCTCATGTTTGAAGTCAGCGGGCCATAGAACAGCACAGAGCTCCGAGTGGGATGGATATGAGCGCATGATGGGGAAAGCAGGCGCTGTGATTGGGGGCTAAAGAGAGAGCGAGGGAGGGAGAGAAAGAAAGAGAGAGAGAGGGAGATAGCGAGACAAGCAGGGGTGAGAGAGAGGAGAGATACAGGGGGAGGAAGAAAGAGGGAGAAGGAGAGAAAGATAGGGGGTAAAAAGGGCAAAATCAAGAGAGGAAGGGAGAGCAGGAGTTAGAGAGAGAGGGAGGGAGAGATATAGAAGGAGATTGAGAAAGTGAGGGAAGGAGAGAGAGGAGGGAGAGAGGAAAGGAGAGAGAAGGGAATGAGGGAGCAATAGATAGAGGAAGGAGAAATAAAGAAGGAGATTGGGAGAGGGAAGGAGAGAGAACGGGAGTTAGAGAGAGGGAGGAAGGAATACAGAAGAAGAGAATAGGGGAGGAATAGAGATAGAGAAGGAAGGAAGGAAGGAAGAAAGAAGGAGGGAGGGGGTACATGTAAAGTTAGTAAAGGGAGAAGGAGAGAAAGAAGGGAAGAGAGGGAGACAGAGGCAGAGATCAAGAGATGGGGGGACTACCGGCATTTACAGAAATAGTTATTATTGTCCCCAAATAAACCAAAACTAAAAATAAACTAATATATAAAGGAGGGAAAGAGGGAGAGAGAGAGAGGGGAAGAAAGGTAGGGATGGAGAGATGGACAGAGAGAGAGAAAGACAGTCAGAGAGAGAGAGAGAGAGAGAGAGAGAGAGAGAGAGAGAGAGAGAGAGAGAGAGAGAGAGAGAGAGAGAGAGAGAGAGAGAGAGAGAGAGAGAGAGAGAGAGAGAGAGAGAGAGAGAGAGAGAGAGAGAGAGAGAGAGAGAGAGAGAGAGAGAGAGAGAGAGAGAGGAATAATGGTAGAGAGAGAGAGAGGCTGGATGGTCAGACCTAAATTTCACCAGAGCCCAGCTCAGAGTGGTTGGTTTTCATCTTCTCGTGCCGTCTGAGCCTGTGCCTGTGGACCAGAGTTTATGCAATGAGGTGTCAACATCGCAGACTGATCTATGACACTTCTCTAAAGTAATGTAATCGGAGCACAGGTGAAGATTGGTGTCAGTTATTTGAGTAATAAGTGATGGTTTTTAGGTTAAAAGGTTATGGTAAGTTACATAACGACCGTATCTCAAAAACACATTGCACCCAGTTGGATATGACCATCTAAAATGCATTCCCATCAGATGCGA